AATGGAGAAAATACAGTCTCCTGAACTGGATAATCCCATGAAAAGAATGAAGTTGGACTCTGGTCTCACATCATAAAATTAACACAACAGTGATCAAAGACCTAAATGTACGAGCTAAAACTATAATAATCTGGGAAGAAAACATAGGTGTAAATCTTTAAGACCTTGGATTAGGCAATGGTTTCTTAGATATGACACTAAAAGTATAAACAATTAAAAAATTGATAAATTTGATTTCATCAAAATTGAAAACTTGTGCTTCACAGATGTTATCATGAAAGTGAGGAGACAATCTACAGAATAAGAGAAAATATCTGAAACCATATATCTGATAAAGTTCTAGTATACAGAATATATAAACGACTTACAACTCAAAAAACAAACAATTAACACAATTTAAAAATGAACAAAGATTTAAGTAGGCATTTCTACAAAGAAGATATATGATGGCCAATAGCACATGAAGTATTACCTAACATCATTGGTCCTTAGGGAAATGCAAATCAAAACCACGAGCTACAGCTCACACTCACTGTGGGGGCTACAATAAAAAAGACAGATGTTCGGGGAGGATGTGGAGACAATGGAGCCTCCATGGAGGCTGGCAGGAGTGAAAGATGGTACAGCCGCTTTGGAACGCTGTTTGGCAGTTCCTCAAAAAGTTAAACACAGAGTGGCCATGTGACCAACAATGTCACTCCTAGTTGTATACCCAGGAAAACATATGTCCACACAGAAACTTGTACACAGATGTTCATAGCAGTGTCGTTCATAACAGCCAAAAAGTGAAAACAACCTGGAAGTCCATTAACTGAAGAATGGATAAAGAAAATGTGGTACATATACACAATGGAATATTACTCAGCCACAAAAAGGAATAAAGTACTGATTAATAATATGACATGGATGAACCTTTAAAACATTACGCTAAGTGCAAGTGGCCAGACAGGCCAAATGTTGTATCATTCCACTAACATGAAATGCCCAGAATAGGCAAATCTACATGGACAAAAAGTTGACTACAGGTTGCCATTTAGGGGAGAGGAGAATGGGAAGTGACTGCCTAATGGAGATGGGAGTTCCTTTTGGGAGTGATAAAAATGTTGCACAACTTTGTGAATAGACTAATCCACTGGATTATGTAGTTTAAAATGGTGAATTTTATGGTATGTGAATTATATTTAAAAAAAAAAATCCCTACATAACAAAGTGGAGTGATTTCAAGGTTATTTGCTACATGAAGTGGCTGCTAAAAGGCATTTTTATTTCTATATGGGCCTTTACAATATTGTTAGAATTAGCACATGGCAACCTCATTTTAACATGACTCAGAATTTGGCTCATGGTTAAATGATGAATCAGTAGAGCAATTGTAATAAAAACTTTCATCTATATAACAGATTTTAAAAATATTCTCAACCTTTGAGTTATCATTTGGACTTCCTAACTGTAAAAAAATTTAAACTGAAAATTAGATCAGATATTCAAACTCATGCAAGTATAGAAAAACTAGCAAAAGTAATTTAAATTTAATATAATAAATAAATTTATACACCAAAAAATAAGAAAATTATCAATTTTAAAACTCTAACAAAATAATAGAAACAGGCAATGATCATCAATGGATGAGCTAAACCATTAGGTGCAAGTTTTCTGGGAAACTATGAATGATGGATCAAGCTGACAATGCCTGAATTCACTGAGCACTCTGAACATCACTATAAATGGAACAAAGCAGGTATTATGTCCCTCCTGATGGATATGAAGAACTAGGGTTATTTCATCACCACTTATGAAGCATTTTGGCCAGTATATACATTCATGTATACATACATCACTTATTTAAGGCTCTACCAGTGTGCAGAAGACACTAGGGAGAGAGGAACAAGGTAAACAAAACAAGGATGCAATCAGCCAATCCAGAATGTGGGAATTTTATAGAGCAAATCCTACAGTCTCTGTAACAAATAAAGTCATAAGGAAGAGTGGGGGAACTATTATAAATAAAAAGAGGTTTGTGAATCATATAATTTATCTTCCAAACTAGGACATCTGCTAGGGAAAGGAAGTTCTGTGCTCATCATGCTGGACAGCAGGCATGAACGGTGACATTCTACTCAACACCTCAATCAAATGCAAGGTGTGGGCTTTTTTTTCCTCAATATCTTTTTACTTCTGATTCTTTTTTTTTGGAAACAGGATCCAATTAGGGAATTTGTACGTGGTCTGAACATTAAATGATAAAGAATCTTTGTCAATTTTGAGGTGAATGATAATGACACTGTGACTAGGTTTTGTAAAAAAGTCCTTATCTGTTAAGAGATACACACTCAAGCGTACAGAGCTGAGATGATATGGTCTCTGAGTTTTGCTTTAAAACACCAGTTGGGGGTGGGGGTAGGAAGTATGGGGGAATATATGAAACAGTATTGGTAAAACAGATAAATATTGAAGCTGTGTGATGGGTCCGTGGGGATTCATTATACTATACGCCATTTATGAATGTTTGAAAATTTTTATAATATAAAGTTTCTTTAACATCACCGAGCATGGCAGAAGGCATTTCTGGCTTTGACTGTCTTATAATGACAGATACACTCCCACAACTCTTACTTGCCAAAAAAATATTGGTTAGGCTTAGACACAAAATAGAAATCTCGAAGGGAAATCTTTAAAGGAGAAACAGCTGGTTTGGCTGAAAGGAAATGTAAAATTTCGTTTCTGACTTTCCCACAGAAAGATGCTCTCAGAGTTCTTTCCTGGACTCCCAGGGAGTGGCTATGGTGCGTGAGGGCTCTGGGTTTGTAAGGACTCAGTGGTGAGGTTCACACAGCTTTGAACACTAAACGGAGTCAGCAGCCCCAATTTGAGATTATCCTGTTCTTGGCAAAAAGTCATAATTTTAGTTTCTGCCAGACATAAAATAAAATTTATTTTAAGGGGTAGAAGAAACTTCAAAAGCTGTATGTGAGTGAATCTCTGTTGCCTTTGGTTGTGTCTATTTTAATTGTGTATCTCACAATTAAATTTTGTTTTGTTTCTGGAGAATTGCTCTAAGGATGTGAAGCCCAAAGCTAAAACTTCATCTAAATAATTACTCATCTTTATCATGAAATTCCAGACAAAGACAAGCAAAAGTATGTAGATTGGCCTTTAAAATGTCTTAATATTTAAAGCAGGTCTTTTAATAGTTTTGGACTCGCCTCCTATTTAGACCAGTTAAACAAAATATAATTTTTCTTAGATCATAGCCCAACTACCATTCATGGTTTCCAAATGCAAAATTATACAATTTAGGAAAGTTCTTAACATACAATTTCTTTCTATATGTCAGATTCCATTTCAGGCAACGGCATAATAAGAATTAAAGAGAAGCTTTCAGGGGAAAAATACCAGAGATGTATAATATTAGTGAGAATTAAATAAATTACAGAGAGTATGAAATATAGTTAGCATGAAACTTCAGGAAATTTAAACAAAGCAACAACTGTCATTTTCACAAGAAGTTCTTCAGTGGTTTAGAAGTTCAAGCCATCAAATCTAAGAGGAAGTCTGCTAAAAAAAACAAGGCAGTGTTACTGAGTTCCTGAGAAAAGTGCTCTCACCAACCTCAGCTCAAGGTGCCTCAACTTTCACTTTCTTTCTGATTAAAGGCACCTAACTACTTTTTTTTTTAAGAAGGACCAAGGGAAGTTAGGGTAAACCAAATAGTATTTTACACCTAAAGCAGTCCATTGTGAGATTTTGAGTCATGTGTTATGAGTCAGCAACTTCTACCTTCCAACAGATCATTCGTAGAAATGGATTTATGGCAGTGAGGCACACACCGTGACATTTCTGGATCATAACCACCGTAGAAAGCCAACTCACACTTTCAAACAGGAAAAGTAACTTTCCTAAATAGATTATCGACAGTTGACATGCACCCCTCACGACCCAGAGAGAAGCTATGTTAACATACAGTTAGTGAAACCATACCAGTTAGAGTAATAGTCAGCAAAAAACCAAAGTTGGTTAGCAATGTGTTGTTACAACAGCAGTCTAGTACTTCCATAAGCTCAGCAAAGTACTGTGTAGTCTGGTGGATGCAGAGGAGAGGAGAGGAAAGGAAGAAGTGCAAAATTAAAATTGTTTTAGAACCAATTGTGAGTAAAATAACTACTGCAGGATTTCAGTGTAGCACTGTGAATTTTCCTGTACTCTTTAATGTTAGACAGGAATAACACAGTGGAGGAACAATAAACACGACGCTTTCTCCAAGCGAAGATTTCAACTTCCTGCAAGTGGATGAAATTAAAGAACAAACAAAAAACAAACAAAATCATACTAGCCCTTGATGTACCAAATCTATTTAACTGCATACCCCTGCTCTCCTATTCCACATTTTTATATTCCTGGAAGATAATGCATATCCATAGCCACTAATTTCTCCATTATTTAGGATCAGCAAAAATGGAAGCAATTTTGATGATGACTGTGGAAATAATGAACTGGACTGAAGTCAAAATTTTTTTGTTTCTACAGAACTTCTACAGACCCTGTATTTTCACATTTGCTACATATACATGAAGGTCCTTGACCTGGGAATCCTAAACTTAAAAGTTGCTCACCAAACTTACTTTCTGTTTCAGACACTGCAGCACAGACGTGGAGTCAGTACTTACTCACATGGTGGCCAGGCACAAAGAGCTGTCACTTGTAGCAAGTGGACACACAGCTATTTTCAAGCTGATGGCATGACTGAGTGCCTGTGGGTACAGACACTCAGACTTCCAGCAAGCTGCTCCTAACCCATGGCTACACTGTCTGAAGATAACAAAATATTAAAGAGGTCACCTCAAATTATCCACGCCAGCAAATCCAGCCTCCTGCTGCATGGCGGTGCAGCAGGCACTTGACCCCATTTCATAAACACAAAGATGCAGGCTCAACTCTCTTCCCTGAGAGCACCGCTAGGCTTTCCCACCACGGAAGGAGAGGAGGCACCGGGCTCCACTTACTCTTCGTTCAGGGCGCACCGACGGTTGGTGAGCGTGCCGTACTTCCTCAGCGTCTCCGTGAGCTCCGAGTACAGCTTGTCAGCCAGGGACAGCGGGATGCCCTCCCACACCAGGATGAGGATCACGATCACCGCAGCCTCACAGGTGTGGCCAGCTCGCTCCCGCACCAGACACAGCAGCTTCTCCTCACTGCAGCTTCTGCGGACCACCTGTGAGGGTCATCGTTCCACCCCAACACCCCCCACCCCAACCAAGACAAAACAGGGTCACTTGCAGCAGATGAGAGCATTGATTATGCATTTTCACGTCTGGGTCACAATTAGGATGACATCTACCAGCACTGCAACTTGTCTTTGGCTGCCCATCCATCAAGTGGGGGCTGACACTGGGGTCAGAATCAGGAGAGATGAGCAGACTATGCCCAGCACAGTGGGGCAATGCCCCTGCATGAAAGCCAGAGCCCGATGGAAGACACGCAGGCCTTTCTCATAAAGTTCAAGGTTTCCATAAAGGACAATATAAAGATTAACTGAAGGTATTTAAAGGATGATGGACCACTTCCTCCTGTTCCAGGAAGAATTCTACTTTTAGCAGGCACTTGAACGGACCTTCTCACCAATAAATTCTTTCAGTTAAATACAGTTTGTACATGATTTTAAAACCAATCTGCCTTGTTCTTAAGAGATAACACATGATAAAATAAATATAAGCAACATTTCTTTCAATTGGCACAAATGACTCTTTGATCTGGTAACCCAATTCTCAGGATTAGATTAATGAATCAAAACACCCAAGATGGAAGCCCCACGGCCCTGCCAGGTCACACTTACCCATTTAGCAATCGGACATCCCTGAGAACTTTTCCCTTCTTTCCCAGTATAGATGACTCTCTCAATCCTAATAGCTTTACCCTTCTGTCCAAACCTTAAAGAAATCCACAGAGACACACACACACAATTAGCAAGTGAATATCAAGCAGCAACCAGAATATTGAACATTTGAGCATAATTTTATTCTATGACCACATCCTGAGAAATGAATGGTTTAATTTATTTTTTGGAAACAGGTCTAAGTCAAGCAAACTGGATAATAGACTTTAAGCATTGTATTTCTTCAGTATCAAAATATACTGATAATTGCAAGGAATTATTTTGAAATTATTTGTTGAGTGAAAGTAATGGGAAAGCGTATTTTTATACATCATTTCAGAAAGCACAAAACTTTTTTAAGTTTGCTAAATTCAGTCTTCTAAGATATATACCATTTGATTTTTGTCATTTACTAAATTTAGCTGTTTTAAAACTTGGGGAATCATAATAGATGTTAGTTAGAACCGTTCCTCAAAGAATCTCTCATTTTTAAGAGGAAGCTGGCAAATAACTAGTATCTGGCAATTTTGAAAACATAGGATATTGCTAGAATAGATTATATTTTACCTTACAACCAACTCACTATTTGCTAATAAAAAAAAGTCACTTAGGGAATTCATGATTTCTGCCAGGCTACTAGGTGATTATTTAGTGAATTTCTACATGCTAATTTGGACACGGGGCAAGAATGATACGGAATATGTCCTTGCCGCCCAGAATGTCTCCTAAGGTATTTTAGTGGTACCACTGCCTACCTCTTACAGAAAAGCCACCCAGCACACTAACAGCTCAGAGCTGCAGATACCTATGTGAAAGCCTCTCTCTGCATTGATTATCTCACTCTAAGAGTCTTCTACATGCAGGAGTAACTGTGTGGATTCAGGTAAATACTTGCATATCTGTGCTTGACAGTAAAAAAAAAAATGCAGCTATAAATAGAATCTGTCTCTATTTCTGTTTGGTATATTACACTTGCCCTTTGCCCATACTCAGGGACAACTTCTTAGAGACGACTGCTCACTTACAACCCCTGGTGAATTTAACTCAGTGGCTCCCCCCTTACACCACATTCCCCTCTTTCCTCTTTGACGCCCTGCCATCAAGTGGGAAAGCCAGGGCGGGGCTGCCCCCTGCCGCCTATGCCACACCCCGTGCCTGGCAGGCTGGCTGGCTGGTTCCTGGGTATTTGTGCCTGGGTTTTCTGGCATCCATCTCCCAGTGGGCAGCCTGTGCCAGCTCACAGACCATTAGTCCTGTCAAATATTGTGACTCTGGTGAATAGCACAGTGTGTAGCGTTGGCAACCTGGGATAGCTAAGCCTACTGATAATTACTCAATTTACAATTGTTTACTGCGTTTTATGTGAAAGCTGGAGAAACTCTGACATATACAAAAGGATAAACGTTACTCTGCCCTGTGCCTTTGCGTTAATTACCTTTCTTCCATGATTTCTCTAATAGCTGCCACATTAGGACCTGCTCCTAGATGGGTATAAAAAGGACCTTCATCTTTTTCAATAATTTGCTCTGTTGAGATAATAGAAGATTATTATTTTAGATCTCAATTCTACTAAATATAAAGGCTACATCCACAAAGTTTATCCCCCAACTGCACATTAAGGGCCCTAGACGTGACTTTAAACATTTTTTTCTTTAAAATGAGTAAACTGATGGACTAATGTATTAGAAAAATGTGGCAAATAATTAAGTATATGTACATGCTAGCTATTGGATAAAAATATATTAAATTACATTTCAGATATGGGATAAGAAATTATTTATTTTAAACCAAATAAGTGGAACTAAACAAAGAAAACAGTGAGGGAATTAGAATATATTATATGTAATAGCAACTACAATCCAATTTTTTAAACTGAAAAAAATGTTTTACAGCCAACTAGAAGCCTGCCTGCCACTTGGATGTTAAAAGATTAAAAATAAAATGTCCTGTCTTCTCTCACTTGCAGGATGCTGCTGAATTACTGTCCAGATAACTTTGTCTCCTCTGTTTCCCCACAACATTCAATTACCGCTTTGAAAGAACAATACTGAATGTAGACCCACACTTGTATGTACTTTAGAACAATTTATGATGAGAGGGATACTGGAGAGAGGGCCAGGTACAAGGCAGAGGCTCTTGCAAACTGTCAGAGATGAAGAGTGGGGACGAAGGATGAAGGAGATGGGACCAGGTGTGGAGATGAGTGTGACTCGCCTACTCTCGTCTGTGACGCTCGTGGAACGCAGGCCCAGGAGGCAACCTAATCTTAACCACACCCGGGCAGGACGGCTCTTCCCTCTGCCTCTCTAACATTGTGTCCCGGTGCAGGAGGAGTAACTCGGGTGGGTGGACCGCCAGCCATATTAGTTTAACATTTGTCTTTTCAAATGTCTCCTACTGTATCCAAGCTGACTGGCTATAATTAAGGTCTTCATCTCTCTCTCTCTGCATCCATCAGCAAAATGTGCCCCTATTCCAACAGACCTATCACACACACTGAATTTTAACCAAAAAGTGTTTGTTTAAAAAAAGAAAAGGAGGGGCCAGCCCGGTGGCTTAGCGGTTAAGTGCACTCGCTCCGCTGCTGCCGGCCCGGGTTCGGATCCCGGGCGCTCACCGACGCACCGCTTCTTCGGCCATGCTGAGGCCATGTCCCACATACAGCAACTGGAAGGATGTGCAACTATGACATACAACTATCTACTAGGGCTTTGGGGGAAAAAAATAAAAATAAATAAAATTATAAAAAATAAAATAAATAAATAGAGTCAATCTTTAAAAAAAAAAAAAGGAAATACCATATTTTCTAACCATATTTTCTATCAAGTGTATAAATGGAGAAAGGGCAACTCTATGAGTATTCAGAACTTCAGCATTACCAGTTCCCAGCTCACCAAGACTGGAGATAATAATTTCCCCCTTATCTAGAAATTAATCTTGTGAAACTTCGAATAAATTCAACCTTGAATTAAAAAATATTAAAAGTTCCTACATTAGTTTGTACAGGGCAGTTATTTTCTCATTTTAATAGATGTTTTTACTGCCTGTTTGTCTCTCCAGGAGGTGATACGCAAAGAGTTAAACAGATTGATTAATCTAACAGCTATCTTGATATTTTAAAGTGTTTGAACAGAGGGTAAAATGAGTATGCACAATTGTTTTAATTTTTTGGAAAAATTGAATGTAAGTGAAGTTCTCTCTTACACAGCACAAGCATCTGTAACTTAAAGACAAGAAATGTAAGCTTCAGATTTTTACGAGCCTTTACAAATTGCTGCCAGACTCAAGATGAAAAAAAAAAAAGAAAATCCCATATCTGAAGATGAATTTGCTAACTCTGGATAAACACCGTGTGTCTCAGTCCATCCCTGGCACTTACCTACACATCTGCATGATGGGAAATCATACTGAGTCTTGACAGGTGTATCCAATAAATTTTTTATAGGAGTATCTAGTAATTTGGAAGGTGACTCTAAAAAATTATTGAGAACAGAGCCAGCTGTTCTCTTGGTTGGTGTCTTTTCTGAAGGAGCTGCCTGCTGCTCTACAGCTGGGGTGTGACTATCAAGTTCTGCTGCAGTGGTTTGTCTAGTTAACACCGTGACTGGCCCTGACATTTCAACTTTTACTTGCTTCTGTGATTTGAGAGTAAGCGCCTTATGGTCAAATAGTGATTTGACCTGAAACTGCTTCAGATGTTGCTCCATGGTCTCAAGGATGCTCCTCTGCTGCACATTATCACAGCTTGGAGGTGGAATCTCTTGCTTAGTTAGCTTTGTCCACGTTTTGTTTTCCGGCTGTGCTGACACGGGGCGCATACAGGCATGGGGCTTGGATCCAGGTTCAATCTTCATTGGCCTGTGCGTCTGACTATGGCAAGACTCAGTTTGGGGGTGTTGTGTTTGCTGCTGTTCTTGCTTCTGTAAGAGGTGCCACCTTAGAGCAGCGTGCTTTTGAAAGTCCTTCTGGGGAGGGGCCTGAATGCGCCGTCCTCCCTGGTCAGGCGCAGGAAAAGCGTTTGCTTGGTTTTGCACCAGGCGCCTCTGCCGAGCGAGCTGTGAAGCTTGTTGGCCAGACGCGTCTTGGCTTCTACTTTTATATCCCTGTAGAACTGAAGCTTCTTGAGGCTTCTGCTCTTGTTCTCGAAAGCACCTCTGAAGAATGTCCTGCTTTGCGGTCACATTATTTGGAAAATATTGCATGTGCTGCAAGTTTTGAGTCTTGTTTCCTGCAAAGAGCTCAGAATTTATAGACTGTTCTTTATTCTCCGGAACTAGGTGTATATTGTTCGAACAAGAAATGTGCACTTTGCTTACATTTGATTTCAAGATCTGACCATAGGGGGAATTTCTACTATTTATATTCTGTACTTGTTCCAGTCCCATTTGGGTATCGTGAGTCTGACACTCACTTGATTTCAAATACTGATTTTCACCACGAAAACATTCTTCCACTTTAATCTGGCTAAAGAATGATCCTTCTCCTTGCTGATCACTGTTGCCTTGGGGACGAGGAAAAGTCTGAGGCCCTTGTTCTTTGTTCTTGATTTGTAATTTCTGCTGCTGCTGCTGATTTTGGGAGAGATATGAATTCTGGGATGGTTGTGTTTGTGCTGCCTGCTTATGAGGCTTCTGGTGCAAAAGGTGTGAGTTTGAGAATGGCTCAGTCTCTGAAGCCTGTTGATTCAAGTGCTGTTTTGATGTTGGGGACATGAGTTTCTCAGTTTGGGGATCTGGTCTTTGTTGGAAGTGAAATCTAGGGGCGCACAGTGACTGCACCGGAGCTTCAGGTGAAGGGTCTGTCTTGAAGAAGTGCACCCGGGGTGAGGGTTTTTGGAACAGGAGATGCTGGCCCACTGTACCTTGAGAGGGCCCTTGATTCATCTCAACTTGGTACCTTTGTGGCCTCTGCTCCGGCTGCATTATTTTCTGGATGTAGGCTTGCCCTGAGAGCCCCCCAGGCATGTTGGAATTTCCAGTGTATTGTTTGGAGGTTATTTGATGGGATGGGCTGGACTGAGACTGAAGAATTGACCGCAGTGATGCCTCGTGACATTTTGGATGGGATTCTGCTTTATGAAAGTGAGGGGCCTTCAATTCAATCCATCCTGGTTTCAGATAGGGCTGTGTCGGGAGCACGAGACCTCGTGTTTGTTCCTTGTCTCCACCCTTCAGAAGCTCTCGCTCTTTGTGCCCCATCAACTGCTGGCAGTGGTTCTGTGGATCTCCACTGCTACCAAGAGCTGGTGGGTGACACCTTGTTTTCTCAGAACACAATGGAACAGTCATTGTCCCTGGAGTCCGTATGTCATTCTTGTTAACACAATTATTCTGAGGCCTTTCTGGAAGCATCAGAGAGGGGCTGGGGACATGTGTAGATGGATTAGGACTCTGGGATGGTGGTGCCTCGCTTTGACCCTCTATTTCCACTTCCCTTAGAAGAGCTGTGTTACTTTGGTTGGGGTAGCGACGGTGCTCTTCCAGAACTCCATCACTCAGAGTGCTCTTTCCTCCTGAAGGAGGCTGAGGAACCTGTGGAAGAGGAGGAGGGGGAGAAAGAAGCAATCTTGATGGTGGTGGTGTGGTAGTGGCAGAAAAGGAATCCTTAGTGAACACTGAGCTTTGCTTGAAGTAAGCACCATTCATTTCATTTTGCTTTAAATACCGTTCAGAGCTGCCACCAGGAGGCTGCAAATTGCTGCTGGAACCTGAACAGAATTCTTCACCAGATACTAGCTTTGTGGTTCCTTGGATGTTACCATTTTCTGCAAGAGATGAGCATATCTCAAAAACTGATTTTTGCTGTTCTGGTTTCTGAAGGTAACAGGTACCTAGCACTGCAGCTGGTTTACTGGCATTATCAGCATCACAGGCCTCAGTTGTCGCTGTGGCTGGCTCTGGGGGCAGCTCAGAGTTCGAGGTCTGTGGGAAATTGATCTGCCCTGAGGTATGCAATGGATGAGTGATCTCACAGGACAACTCATTAGTAGGCTGACTGTTAATGGCATGTATGTGAGATGTGGTTTTCTGCACCGCAATGGAAACACAATCTGGATAATATTGAGACAGTGTTTTTTCCAGGAGTTCACCATGTGTGTTTTCCATGGAAGAGGCAGAAACTGTAGCACCATTAGGTATTAGCACTGCCTTGTTTTTAAGAAGTAATACAATGTTCTTGTCATGGTAGTTAGCATTTTTCCCCTCCTGCTCATTCAGAATCTGAAGCTCTGGATTTTCAGACCCACTGCAGTTACGTGTTGAAAAACTGGAGATATCTTTAACTGCATTTTCTTGGGCTACAGAGCTCACAGATTCTTTCTTATCACTCGAATTGGAGACATTTGGTTGACTGCTGCCTTTGCCTGGATTTCTTTCTTGGCTTTCCCCGAAGTTCGTTCTTTCTCCATTGGCCTGTTGGTCTTGTTTCAATTTCTTGTTCTGATGGAGCCCAGAGAGAGAAGGCTCACTAACTGTGCGTTTTATTCCGCCATTTTGCAAACACTTGGAATACCCTCTACCTTCTTGTATAAAGTCTGGACTCACTCGATTATTCTGGCTTCCTTTCATAGGGGGTATTCCATAACAACTTTTGAAAGACTGCCACTTGGTGTCTCCATTTACTTCTGGGTAGGGTCTCTCGGTTAACGGGCTTCCATTCTGGAGCTTTATAGCCAGAGGTCCCGTCTGGCCAATGGGAGACGGAGATGGTGTCAGGAATGGACTCAGTCTGCTGCCCTCAACATGGTTGGTTCTGTCCTGTTCCATCAGGCTTGCTTCGGGGCCATCCACAAGGCTGCCCTCTGAGTGAATTCTAAAGAGCATGGAAACAAAAATTAAAGTGCATTAATATATATCTAACACTAATAATACACTTTATTTATTTTTATTTATTTATTTATTTATTTATTATTATTATTTTTTTTTGTGAGGAAGATCACCCCTGAGCTAACATCCATGCTAATCCTCCTCTTTTTGCTGAGGAAGACTGGACCTGAGCTAACATCTATTGTCAATCCTTCTCCTTCTTTTCCCTTTTTCTCCCCAAAGCCCCAGTAGATAGTTGTATGTCATAGGTGCATATCCTGCTAGTTGCTGTATGTGGGACGCGGCCTCAGCATGGCTGGACAAGTGGTGCGTTGGTGCGTGCTCGGGATCTGAACCCGGGCTGCCAGTAGCAGAGCGCATGCACTTAACGGCTAAGTCATGGGGCCAGCCCTAATAATACATTTTAGAAAATAATCATGGCATTAATAATATTGGAATTCCCAGACATACCAAACTATGATATTCATTTTCATATTTCAGAGTGACAATATAACAGCTACTCAGAAAATCATTATTCTTGTCTTCCCAGCAACTCTCAAATATTTATGGTCATGGAGAACAAAGATGATCAAAATGACCAGCTAATGTGGAAGTTCATACCATATTGGTAAAGAGTATTAACTTTCTTCCCAAATGATTTTGTCAAAATGCTAAGAACAATGGAGAAACACTACCTCCTTTCTTCCTTCTCTAGTAACTTACATATCCAATCATTTGCTAAGTTGTATCAGTTCTGTTTCTTATATATTCCTTGAATTATCTTCACTGCCCCTTGGTAGCCAGATCTATGTAATCTTGCTTCATTATCCATTACAGTAGCTTTTAAAGGGTTTCTCCCTAGCCCAGCCTATCTGCTCCCCAGTCTCTCAAGGCTCATTCAAATTGTTACCAGAGAGAATGTGTGGTAAAATGCAAATCTGATGTCATGTGCTCCTTGACACACTTTCCTTGACACACAGGCTTCATGTTGCCTGGTTAGTAGTTCTCAAGCTCTTTCACCCAAACACACCTGAAAGATAAGGCACACTCCCTTATGTGTTAACATCGCAGCGGGTGGGATAGGGGTGAAAGTGTAGTTTATAAAATGCCCTTTCTAGGTGTTTCTGTGTTTTCCAGGGCTGGCTGCCCACTGCTGTTGAGAGTTCCTGCCTTATATAAATGGTTTTTCATATGCAGGTTTCTATTTTTCTCTCCTCCCACTTCTTCTCACAGTTCACACTCCAACTATAATAACAGCTATTAGACACCTGAACATGGTACCCTGTGTCAGACCTCCATGCCATTGTCCTTTGTCTGCCCAGATGCCTTCTTAGGCCCCTTATTTGCCCGGTGACTCGTATGCGTCCTTCTAAAACTGTCTCAGACATTACCTCCCCTTGGATTCCTTTTTTGATTTTCCAAGAGAATGAATCACTCCCACTTCTACGCTGCTTCTGTGCCTTGTACGTGGTCTCTCGCACTCCATTGTCTTTTGTTTATTGTCTCTTACTGGACTGTGAACTCCTTAAGAATACTCTACTCTGTTCATTTTTGTGTTCAGTATGGAGTGAGCATCCAATCAGTCTCACTAAATTGATGTAAATTTGCTCATCTTATGATCATTTCTTCACTCATTCATTCATTCACACATTTTTGAGACCAACACTGATGGAGATTTCAGTCCAAATGACAGGGAAAGCAGGAAGAAATGGGCACTGACAACATAAATGATCCATTCTATGAAGTGAATGCTGCCCTATTCATGATATAGTCATACTTTATTTTCTCACAGTTTTTCTCATTACATTTATTTTAAGGATGTAAATAGAAAAAAATCCAGATGATTTCCCCTTCAGGCTATAAAAAAGTTCTATTAAAATAGCCATTGCTCACTAACCAAGACAAATGAAGCAGAGGAAGAAATAAGATATAACATTGGAACGCGACACTGAAGTTATCGTTTGCAGATAATAAGATTATATACTGGTCAACTAAGAGATGCAACTGAAAAACTGTCACAGTTGATGAGAATTCAGTGAAGCAGCTGAAGAAAAAAATCAATGGCCTTAATACATAAAAACAACAACCAGTCAGAAGCTTTAGTGGAATAAAATATTGTAATAGAAAAAATACTTTTATAATACTAGGAATAAATTTAAAAAGAAACGTGGAAGTCCTCTTTGAATAAAACTTTAAAACGATACTGAGGGATACATAAACACAACAGCAAAACAAGTAGAAAGGCATAATATGTTCCCAGATAGCTGTCCAATTAATCTGTTCATTTAAGGTGCTCTCAATAAAATTACCAGTGGGATGGTTTGAGGAATTAAAGATGCTGACTCTAAAGTTCATGTGGAAAAATAAGCAAATTGAATAGCCAGCAATAATCTGAAAAAGATTCGTAATGGAGCCTGGGCAGGGCAGTAGCCAAATGAAAAGATACTGAAAAAGCAACAAAAGCTACTACACTTAAGACAGCCTGTCATTGCACATCAATAGATAACAGGGTGTTAACAAGACCAATGGAATAGAATGGAATATCCAGAGATAGGTCCAAACACACACAGAAATATTGTGTGAGGCAATGATAGCATCTCGAATAAATATGATATTGGAACAACTGGATGGTCTTCTGAAAAAACGATCAAGTTGGATCTATCCCTTGCATCTTATACCAGAATGAATTCTGGATGGATTTAACATCTGAATATGGAAAACAAAAGCTTAAAAAAATTAAAAACGGTCTAAGAAAACTTCAAAAAATATAATCAATGACTGGGTAAGTTCTTTGTGACACAAAATCTAGAAGCCATAAAAGATGAGATAGTTCAGTAAAATTTATGCATGCAAAAATAAACCCAGAAGCAAAGTTAAAAGTCACATAAAGCTTTTCTTGATATATAGGACACACACAAATTGACAAGAAAAAGACCAACTACTGAATAGAAAAATGAGCCAAGGATATGGACAGTTCACAGAAAATGAAATGCAAATGGCTCTGAAATACTGAAAAAGATGTCCCATATCACTCACAAAAAGAAATGCAAATTAAAACTGCAATGACAACAGGTTTTTCTCAAATTGGAAAAGATAAAAATTTGAAAATACACTATGTTGGCAAGTATATGAGGAACAGACACTCTCTTGCCTGGTTCTTGGGAGTCAAGACGAATGCAAATACAATGGGCGACAATTCAGCAATACCTACAGAATTTCATAGAAACTTTCTCTGACCCTTCAGTTTAAGAACTAATCTAACAAATATGCTCATATATTGGTTAAATGATGTATGCACAAATTTTTGCAATAGCAAAAGGTTAGAAACAACCTATATTTTCAGACAGAATTATTTCCAAGAAATTAAATGAAGTAAGCTGCAGAACAGTATGTATTAGAGTGCTATAACCTGAACATTTACAAAAATAAATATAAAATTAGGGATCCAAATTGGAAAGGAAGAAGTAAAACTGCCATTATTTGCAGATGACATGATTTTATATATTGAAAATGCCAAAGAACCCACCAAAAAAAACATTAGAAATAATAAACGAATATGGTAAAGTTGCAGGGTACAAAATCAACATACAAAAATCAGTTGCATTTCTATACACTAACAAAATAGCAGAAAGAGGAATCAAGAATACAATCCTTAAAATCACAACAAAAAGAATAAAATACCTAGGAATAAATTTAACCAAGGAGGTGAAAGACCTGTACACTCTAAACTATAAAATATTGTTGAAAGAAATTGAAGAAGACACAAAGAAATGGCAAGATATTCCATTGGAAGATCTATTGGAAGAATAAACATAGCTAAAATGTCCATACTACCCAAAGCAATCTACTGATTCAATGCAATCCCTATCAAAGTTCCAACAACATTTTTCACAGAAATAGAACAAAGAATCCTAAAATTTATATGGAACAACAAAAGACCCCGAATAGCCAAAGCAATCCTGAGCAAAAAGAACAAAGCTGGAGGTATCACACTCTCTGACTTCAAAATATACTACAAAGCTAGAGTAATCACAACAGCATGGTACCAGCAGAAAAACAGATGCAGAGATCAATGGAACAGAACTGAAAGCCCAGAAATAAAACCACACATCTATGCACAACTAATCTTCGACAAAAGAACCAAGAACATACAATGGAGAAAGGTAAGTCTCTTCAATAAATGGTGTTGGGAAAACTGGACAGCCACACGCAAAAGAATGAAAGTAGATTGTTATCTTACACCATACACAAAAATTAACTCAAAATGGATTAAAGACTTGAATGTAAGACTTGAAAAGATAAAACTCCTAGAAGAAAATATAGGCAGTAAACTCTTTGACATGGCTCTTAGCAATATCTTTTCGAATACCATGTCTACTCAGGCAAGGGAAACAAAAGAAAAAATTAACAAATGAGACTACATCAGACTAAAAAGCTTCTGCACAGCAAAGGAAACCATCAACAAAACAAAAAGACAAACTACCAATTGGGAAAAGATATTTGCAAATCATATATCTGATAAAGGGTTAATATCCAAAATATATAAAGAACTCATATAACCCAACAACAAAAAAACAACCCTATTAAAAAATGGGCAGAGGATCTGAACAGACATTTTTCAAAGAGGATATACAGATGGCCAAGAGGCACATGAAAAGATGCTTAACATCACTAATTATTAATCAAAACCACAATGAGATATCACCTCACGCCCATCAGAATGGCTATATGTAAGAAGACAAGAAATAAGTGTTGGAGAGGATGTGGAAGAAAAGGAACCCTCATACGCTGCTGGTGGGAATGCAAACTGGTGCAGTCACTATGGAAAACAGTATGGAGATTCCTCAAAAAATTAAAAATAGAAATATCATATGATCTAGCTATTCCACTTCTGGGTATTTATCCAAAGAACATGAAAACACTAATTCGAAAAGATATATGCACCCCTATGTTCATGGCAGCATTATTCACAATAGCTAAGTCTTGGAAACAATGTAAGTGCCCATC